CCTCTTTTAAAGCCCCGCGCCGAGAGGCCCCGACGAGCTACGTCCGCGCTTAAAAAGTTAGGTTGTTACAACATTAAATGAAAAAGATCAAGAAGTAGAAGAAATAAATGTGCAAACAGTTGAAGAGAATATAGACATAGATATGGAAATAAATGAAAATGCAGAAAATATATTAACAAACATATCTATACCTAAACAAATAAACAAGTGGGAGCAAAGACAAAAACAAAACTCATTTCTAAATACATTTAATGCCAGAAAAGATAAGTTATTTTTGAAAAACAGAAATTTATATATTAATATTTAATATTAATAGAAGAAAAAGTGTTAAGAGTAAATATTCAAATTTTATAGGAATCTCAATGCATCAGCTATCCTGTGATATGTTACAAATACAACAAAAAAAAGTATAAACTAAAAAGAAAACAATTTATGAAGATCCAGCAGGAAAACAAACATCATGTGTCACAATCTTAAACATCGATTGCTGTGAATATCTGTAGTCAATTGCAGCGTGACCAAACGGAATACTCCCTTAACTTATATTACTTAAACTTATGTCAGTTCAATTAATTATAATATTGACGTTTTTAGGTGATTCAGGATATCCCTTACTACCATATTTAATGACACCCAAATTAAACCAACAAGTTTATGAAGAAAACTTTAAGCATCCAACAAAATATATTAACAGAATTAAAGGAAATGAAAACTTCTATGCAGTCACTAATGCCTGACTATCTGGAATCTTAAATATATAAAATAAATAGATGAAGGCTGTTATTTTTGGTTTTGCAATGTAACTTGTGCAATGAAGAATATTAATTTTAAGTTGATTTTATTTTATGTGTAAAAGTTTTATTTTCAGTACATAAAAACACATGCACTATTAAATTATATATTTACGTTGCAATTTTTATTTCGGAAATAAAAATTGAGTTCATTTTGTTTTACAATGTATAACTTTTGTTTTGCATACACATATGGCTCATAAAATAAAAAGAATATTAAAGATAACGTTTTTTACTAGTTTTATTTTTAGTGGGAAGATACAATTTCAAATAATATATGTGTGTTACATGGTTTCATAAAAAATAAAGTTATTATGTGAAATATTGTAGTATTATTCTTTCTCGCATTTCATTTCCTCTTGCATGTAAATTATTGTCCAAAATAGGTTCTAATTCTTCTTCAATATTTTCATCTCTATACACATCATTGTCAGGAATATTAAATTTTTTTGCAATATTATGTAGAACACAAGTTGCGTTTACGATTAATGCTAAATAAAAACAACACGCATTAATTATTTTAAATAAAATTGTTACAAATAAATAAATTTACCTGTAAATTCAGGTGTATAATGCAAAGCTCTCTCTTTGCGTAAGCATCTCCATCTACCTTTAAGAATACCTATTGTTTTTTCGATCGAGTTACACCGCGCTGTAACATGAGCAGCTGCACAGAGATCCTGGTGGTTGGTTTAATTTGGGTGTCATTAAATATGGTAGTAAGGGATATCCTGAATCACCTAAAAACGTCAATATTATAATTAATTGAACTGACATAAGTTTAAGTAATATAAGTTAAGGGAGTATTCCGTTTGGTCACGCTGCAATTGACTACAGATATTCACAGCAATCGATGTTTAAGATTGCGACACATGATGTTTGTTTTCCTGCTGGATTCCTAGCTGGATTAGAATCTTGCCACTGTATTGGCTGCGATGCTGACATTGTCAGTACCGTAGCCAATACAGTGGCAAGATTCTAATCTAGCTAGCAATCCAGTAAGGAGACACGCATCGTGTGCCGACGGCTTTAGTGGAATCAATCAGAAAATTTTTTATTAAATCAAACCAATTAGCGACGTGTGTAATTGAGTGTCATTCTAACAGATATTAACTATCAGATAAGCTATCAGATATTAAGAATTGATTAAAAAATATCTAAGGGACAATTCATACTTTGAGAAACAGAAATGTAGCTGCCAATTAAAACTAGCGAAATATTTCTTAAATATATAATACCATATACAAATATTTAAAAATGTAATACCAAAAATTCCCTGTATCTCACGACGAAATAATAGTTATAATTCTGATTCAGATACACTAGAAATAATTTTTTATACATTATTCATTTAAATATTAGAGCAAAATTTTTGTTGAACATTCCTTCTTTGAAGATTGAATTAATAATAATATTTTAGATTCTGCACATACATATACCTAATAGCCATACATTTCTTCTACCATTTTGATATTTGTTTAACATGTGTCTGGATAATCTAGAGGAATTTCAAACTCTGGAATCATGCGTGCGGCCACCGTGACTTGCTACAACTGCCAATATTATTCCATAATAGTCACTGACCTAAAAAAAAAAATATGTATGAAATCTCATGAATATAAACTAAGGCATATAATTCTTTTCTTTGTTAATTATATTTGCTTAATTATATGATGGCATATTTATTGTGAAATAAATAGCACTTACTATCATAACATTCAAGGAATGGAATAGTTTTCTATTAATATAAAGGTGTTCTCTATTTTTCTCTGGTGGCCATATCCCCACATGTGTCCCATCTATAGCGCCTATTATCCCAGGAAAGTTAGTATTAATCCAGAACCTAAA